AAATTTTAAGATCTTGAAATTTTGTTTCAAATAAAAGAATTTTAAGCCAATGTCATACTTGTAAAAATTCCATGCGGAAATATTCCAAAAATATACATAATACACTTGCGATTTTTACAGCTTTAAAATCCTATATTAATACAGTTTTAGGGAAGCGATCGTATTATCATGACTTGATTATATCCATCTATCATAGGTTAGTGACCTTAAATAACGTTATTTTAATCAATTTTTCACCCAAATAGACGAGTCTAACTACTATATTACTTAATATGAATTATGGCTTAAATCCCAAAAATACGGATTTGATGTAACTACCATTATTAAAAATTCTACAGCGATATTCTACATCGTGCACATGGTCGTTTTGTTATGTTTGTCAAGTGACCATTCAATTAATATCAATATCAAATTAAATTAATTAAATTAATATTAATTAGTATCACAGAAAAACTTATTAAATGTTTTATTTATTTTGGGTCCCACAGGGAATATTTCCGTATGGAAATTCCACTCCCGCATAATTAAGATAATGTTTTTCGATATCACGAAAATTCTTCAACTGTGATGCAAGCCTATGACGAAAAATTTACATCTAATAAGGTATAGAACGTGAAAAAATCGGAGCATTTTCACTAGCCAAAAAATGGTTTTCCGGAAAAAAAAACATATACCTGCAGGTAAAACTAATACCTTTCTCGTTATTACATACAAAATTTAAAAATAGTAAAATCGTTTTATTACGACCACGAAGAAAATATGTAACGTATCAAAGGTATAATAATATGGTAAAGCTATATACGCAAGACGGAAAGTCTCAAGTTTAGATACACAAACTAAAGTAAAAACGAAAAATATAAACACCCGCGAGATTAATATCAGCGTCCTCGTTTAAAATTTGTATAGATCCGACGTTATGTATGAATATTATTTGTAAAATGTATAGGTATTAGGTATTAGGTAAGTAAACACAGAAACCAACGTCTTTCTACATCACAAAAGGAACCAAATTATACTTTTATATAGTGGAAACAGTGAAGTGTCCAGGAATTTACAATGGGAAAAGATGTAGCAAATAAGAATCGTAAAATCGTTTCTCTATTCAACACGATTATAAGAATTAGTAATTTAAAAGCCTAAAAAAGGCAAATTTTAATAAATACATCAAGCTCTTCTACATAACTTCACTGAAGTATATGCATTTTAATATTAAATAACTTATATTATTTTGTATTTTAAAACCTATTGGGGGGGATACAACTCCTAACCTGTCTCCCTGCGTACGCCACTATTCTTATATAAAATAGGTACATAATTATTATATTAAAAGGCCGCGTAATTTGAGTTATCGTTTTACTAAAGGTCAGTATGCGTTCGTGAACTTTTTCAATTTTCAATTAAATAGATAAATTATTTATTTATATATGTATTTACGAGTATTAACCATTTAACAATTTTGTTTTTACTTCATTATTTTATAAGAATCTGAGTGCAGCGAAGAAGCTTATAGTTTTACAAAGTTTATTTTTTTTTTTAATTTTTGTTTTTTTTATCCGTACACAACTTTTCTACCAGAAGACTTGTTTATATTTCTTAATATATAGCACTTTTTCTGAAAGGAAATCAGTGTGGGAGGGTAATTTAAAGAGGCCATTTTTTCGATTTTTTTCAAGAGTTTTCTCATCAAATTTGGAAAACAGAAGAAAACCGGGAAAATATAAGAAATGTAAGTATTAGTTAAAATATATTGTCGCCTTCTTTTTTTCTGTGCACAACTTTTCTACCAGCAATTTTGTTCCAGCTTATAATAATATCAATGTTTCTGAAAAAAAATTTCACTAGGAAGGTACTTTAGAGAATTAATTTTTCAATTTTCGCAGGAATTTTCTCATCAAATGTGAAAAACCGGGATAAAACATGGGAAACCGGAAAAAACGTAAGAAAACTGAGAAAATCGGTATAATATTAAACAAATATCATTAAATAAAATATAAAGGTAAAGCCTATTTAATTATTTTTCTATAAAATGATATATATATATATATATATATTGTTGACAAAGCATCACTATCAACTGAACTACACTCAGAATCGTTTTTTCGGTAAGCAATGGTAAATCGTTGCTTACAAGTATTCATTAAAATAAATATAACAATGGATGCACCTGCCTCCATTTTCCTAGGACATCTTTGTGGTGTAATACGATTTTGCAGAAATCATAGGGCACTTGAATTATTCTTATTGATTTCAATTTAAAAATTACAAATTGTATATGTGTTAGTTTTTCCTGTAAAGCAACGAAAAGTATTATCAAAGAAAATTATTCAAATTTTCAAAAAATCGTAAAAAATAAAAGACCATACTTTAACAAAAGTTTGAACCACAAAAAATTTTCTAAAAATCTATTTTGAATTTTTTTTTTTTATTTCAAGTCCCTCCTCCTAGAAAAAAAAATATTCAAATGTAAACTATAGCATACTAATTGTTTAAAAACTATATATGACAAAAATATTAAATAGGGCAAAAGTTATTTCAAGTTGCAGATAATCGTGGGACCCCTGTATATTGCCCCCTCCCGTGTAGGACCTCTGTATCCGCCCTCGCAGTACAATGTCTCGTATATATAACTATATAAATTTAATATTTGTCTACATTATATAGTTGTAGACTGTATGTGTTTTACTACACATTGATTTTCCAATGCGTATAGGTAAATAGGTATCTACCCCTATACATTTATTGGTTTCTTTAAAATTTATTTGTGCAGCGGTCGTTTCGTTAAATATTTTAAATCGCGTCCGTGCTGAAAAAACCCATACACACGGTAATAAAAATTTTAAAAATAAAACAAACACAATTTTACGGAATACCGATGAATTATTTATGACTGTATCACTATATCAGCATAGTTCAAATTTGTTCGTATTTTTATTATAAACACGTGCAAGTATTACGGTTTTATCTTTGGCATAAACCTCAGTATTATTATCTGCTAAATCGACCAACTTGCCACCATCACGTATTGTTAAGTTACCTATTTGGTTATGATTAATTTTCAAATTAAAGAACGTGACGGCGGCGGAAGATAATTTATTTCCCCGTGGAACACCACCGGAAAATATTAAAGTTTCTTAACTTCATGAATTGTTTCATTATTTATTATTCAACTTGCCGGTAATCTCTCCGATACATAGGTAAGAACTTAATAATTTATACGCCACAGAGTCCTTTAAAACAATATTTTTAAAGTTTTGCCATGTACAAGATTGTGCAGTGTAAAATATTATGATCGATATAATAATACATGACAGCGTGCACTCTCCTCGAGTCTAAATTCCTGCAACAACGCAAAAACAAATGACAGCAAATTTATTTTAGTTTTACAAGAATTATATGGTATAGGTATTATTATACCACTGTAACACTTGTTAAGCACTACAGCTAATCTTTATTTTTGGAACGGAAATCCGTAAAGAAATGCTGACATTGAACTCGTAACTTCGACAATATACAATCGGAATGCGGCATTCGAAATGCCCGTACAAAATATAACAATTTCGAAGCAAACGTAATACGTATTATAAAACATATTATATTATTACGAGTATTAGGTATGGAATCCGAATTATAACTAATATAATATATGGATCAGTGGTAGCTCGTGAAGTTTGTAAGTGGTGAAGTTAATGTTCTAAAAATTACAATTAGAGGGAGTGTTAATAAATGTTCATGGGAAGACGGTCAACCTCAACATATTTGTTGATTTTGGATCTCGGTTATCGGTTAGGTAATTATTATTTTTAATTTAAAAGTATTTAGTAACACTGGTACATATTTTTCTGTAACTGATCAATATAATATTATATTACATTATGTTTTAAACGAGATTATTTTTAAGGTTTTGAAAAATGTAATTTATAATATGTAAATATTTCAGATGTATGAATATCTAGTGTAAATGTTCAATAAATTAAACGATGTGATGGCACTATAAAACAGATCCGAAAATTCAAAATAATTCAGACGATTCGAACAATACAGAAATATCAAATAATAAGTTAATATGACAAATTTACAACGGTTGTCGGTTATCGTTTAAATTAATTCAACTACCTCTAACAATAGTACCGATATCATTTATTTTTTTTCGTGTTTTAACCGATATCAGTGAAGGATCTGTTTTCACAATACTTCCTCACTGTTGAAATCGTTTACTGAAAAATTACAGCTAATATCCTTATTTTAGATCCTGTTCCTCATAAGCGGCTAACAAAGGCTAACAACTAAATTAATAAACCATACAGTAAAATAAAAGTAATCCTATGTCTATAGCTTAACTAACTTAATACTACTGTAGCTACCTACGATCTAAGTCTTCCAAGCTCGGTTCGAGACCCAGACAGCCTGGAAGCTCGTATTATCCTTCCTCTTCACAACTAGATTCGCTAAACCCACCGTCTGTGTGTATATTATACACACATTCAAGCTCAGAAACGTCTTTAGAACATTGCCATCAGCTGTATTACGGGAAATTAGCTCTTATTCCACAAAACAAAATAATCCAATCGTTATTTGTTCCACATTTTTTAGAACACAAATTTATTGGAATAAGTGTCGTGTTGAAAAAATGCACGCGACGATTCTCTAATCCCTAATGAACAAAATGAGAATATATAAAAAGATTTTGAGTAAATTTTATTTTATAAATTGACAAAAATGTATGTTCCCGGATTGTACCTATACAAACCTGTTTATCTATACTAATATAACACTAAACTTTGTTCAGAATCGGTTTTTCAAATGCAAAAATTACGTTGTTGTTTTAAAATCTATAACAGCGCATGAATCACAAATTCTACTATTAAATAGATAATGTTTAAAAAAAAATTGCATTACCTAAATATTATAAACATTATAAAAAAAGAGGGAACGAAAAAAACCGATTATGATGTTCACTAACAGTTTATTATAAATAAATGTACACGAAAAATAGTAACACACCTACCATAGTGGGTATATTACTTCTTAAAAATCCCTATGGCTTGTTTTTTTATATAATAATTGAATTCTATACATTAACTTTATTGAACAAAGTACAAGTTTTTAAATTTACGCTTAGAATTATTGCCTTAAAATATATTACTAACCGACTTTACGACTACGAAAACGAAGTTACTCAGAAGTTTAAAGAAGATTAATAATGAACTAGTGCCTAGTGGCTACTACACTATCTAGCCATTCATTTGTACCCTTATAGCTTAATATGTCTAGAATCCCATTTGCTTTTGAATAATAATGCTTTCAAAAATATTACCACAAAAAAAACAAACGCAAAGAAAGTTTTTGATCCATAATTTCGCTATTCAAAACAACGAGTATTCGAATTTCACTGAAAAAATCCTATTGATTTTGTTTTCCCTCGATAAAAATGTGATGCATTTAAAAAAAAAAAAAAACCTACATAATAATTCATTCATCCCATTTCTATAAGTACAAGAATTTATAATATACAGACACTATAATAGTGATGAATTTTAAATTCTGCAGAGTGAAACAAAGCAAGTCGTTAATTGTTTACCATACGAATTGGCGTATTTTTTGTTTTTTGTTCTTCGTATCTGTGGGTAGATTAATCGTTCCGGTATATATTTATAATTTTGAACGTTTAGTGTTTATGAACATTAATAATATTATTATAAACGAGGCATTCATTTTTTAAATTTTTTCAACTTTTAAACAAACGGAGATAACAGCCGAATTTCTGCAGAACAAGAGAACAAAATATGAAGAGGACGCAACTTGAGGCCATTGGGCATTTGTCGTCTCCATCTATAACGGGCAATATAGCTAAAATTTGTTTTCTTACTTCCAATTATAATACAATCAAAACAAAAATTATTTCACTAATGAAATACGACAACATTTTCTATACGTTTTTAAAAAGGGATTGATTTTCACCTATTTTCCAGATATTTTTTTCGCAAGTTCCTACTTTAAACTTTAAAAAAAAAATGTATTAATTTATTTATTTGTTTATTTTAATCTTAATAAATACTTATTCCATAATATAACTATCGAAAAATCCTTATTTGAAAACATATAATAAATAGTTTTCTTCATTAATTCGGTGAAATAGTTGTTATTTTTAATATATTATAAATCCTGAGTATTATACAAAGTATGAAAAAACATTTTCGAAAAATATTTCCCGTTTAATAGACAGAGACGGTAAAAAAATGGCGGTGTGGAGTGTTCTTAATAGGATGTTGTAACCCGTATGTACTGACTTCGTTTTACTAAAACACGACATAGTAAAACATTCTTATGCAGACTGAGTAATTTTAAATTTAGAGTATAATCACTTTTTATAAAAATAAAAGAAGATAATTTTCTGATAGGCACCATACTACATATTCCCATTATTTTCCCCAATATTGAAAAATGTTTAAATTATGTCTAAGGCTTTTCCATTAATAATTGACTGCCCGATACACACTTAGAGGTACAGCTGTTTTTACACCAAATATGATGATTTATATCAAGTTTTAGACCAATAAGTCCGTTAAATCGATTGAAAATCACCCACTACCACGATCCCAATTTTAATTTAGAAAAATTGACCTTTTTCTTATGCTTCATAGAAAAAATGTACTAATTTTTTTATTATTTAGTTAATTTAGTTAAAGTTCATAAGAAGTTTACCTTTTACATTCTGAACGGAGCAAGGAACGTATTTGATTTATAATGTTTTTTTTTCTGTGAACAACTTTTTTACCAGCAATTTTAGTCCGATTTACAATAATAGCACTTCTTGTGAAAGGAAATCATTTGACTGGGGTGGTACTTTAAGGAAGTAATATTTTTGATTCACCCAGCTGTTTTCATAATAAATGGAAAAAAAAACATGAGGAAAAACGGGAAAATATTAAAGAAAATATAAAATGCATATTATAATGTATAATTATTTTACTGTAATATAACATATATATTATATTGTTGACAAAGCAACAATATTAACTCCACTCAAAATCATTTTTTCGTTGGCAATAGTTAATCGTTGCGTACAGATATAAATTAAATTTCCCCTCTACCTTCTCAACTTTTCACCTATAAAAGTAACCCATCCACGTGCGAAGTATGTCCGTCTTTTTTTTTCTTAAAAATAACTTTTACTCAAAATTGTCATACAAAAAAAACCTACAAAGCAAAAAAATGTTTGAGTCAACTCATTTTTCAAAACAGAAATTGGATTACTGGAAATATGTTTATTTTATCCCGGCTTTTTGACTTATATATGAAAAACTAATCACTTCTAACCACGTTAAAAAATACGTTTATAAGCATATTATAATATAATATATCACTATTAAATGCGTATGAAAAACTATTTCACGTTATGGCATAATATTCGTAGATTTACTTACGGGGTTATAACGTGAAGTACCTATCTCGTAGTAAACTACTACCTTTTTACTACCTTCCTACTTGTTTTCCGGAAATCTGAATAATATCAAAAAAAGATTCGATGAACGTCATAAAGTACTTCTCCATGTTAACGTGTCGCCTGTTTAATATAACTGCCTGAGAAAAATGTTAATATCATAAAATATTGTACAGTTTCAAGATTCTTATAAAACTTATTGGCCAATGATAAGGGTTTCTGCAGTGAAAAACACAACTGTGAAATATTATAATATATGATTTATATGTAATAATAAACTGATTAAAAACATTAGATACGTATAATGGTTGAATCGCTTATTTCGAAAACCCCCGAAATCCATTTTTTCTCTTTTTGAAATAGTCAATAATAATAAAATTAAAACAAAAACCTTATACAGCGATGTTTTAATAAATTTCTGCGGTAAACGAACATTTCAAGGTCATATAGAAAGAAGCAATAAGGGAACGAATAATCAGCTAAATTTAAAAAAAAAAACATATTTTATTAAAAGATGAAGATGTAAGTCTTCTCCGATCACCAAATACGAAATTGAATCCAATATGTGTCTTCTACTAAAGATTATTCCTCTCGGACAGATCTGCGAACAAATTTCAGACACGCCTACCATAAATTATTATATTATGTACGTTATAATATTTGATATTTTCACCAAACCGTAGAAACGTTTTCCAGAAGTCCGGAAGAAAATAGGACTTACACTTGTGTTAACACGCCCATTTAAGAGCTACTGCCGTAAATATAGTGATATATTGATATTATTGCAGTTTCAAGACGTTAAATGCTCGTGTATTACGCGTTACCTACGTAATAACGACCAACGAAAATTATTACGTTCCTCGTGCGGAGAAAAACTGTACCGACTATTACCGCACGCGTCATTGTACAGTTTTCTCATCTTATTATTTTTTTGTTTCATTCTTAGAGGAGGTTAAGAAAATTAAACGTTGGTACGGCCAATTGAAAAAATGAACCCTGACCTAAATCATAACCACCCAAAATTTTAAAATCCTTGTATATACGAATAACCTTTTCAAACCGTCTGGCAGGTCGTCATTAATAGTTTCATACGAACCAAATTACTTTTTTTGCGATACCTACACAATATGCATTTTCTTTTAAAAGTAACACTAAATATTTCAGCCGAGTATAGCCAAAGGAATATTGCTTCGAAAAGACCTATTACGCTAGTAAATATTCCAAATTAATGAGTATAATATATTAGGTACGTATTATATAAATCTAAAACTGTCCAATAAAAAATTATTAATTTTGTCGAGAATTAACTTTTTATTGAGTCAAAAAACTGCTGCAGAAACAATAAATATCCCTATTTCGATAAGTTAATAATATATAACATATTTTTCATCAGATTCTTAAGTGATGATTTATCTTGTATTTCCGTATATAACTTACTATACTACGTTATATTATATTATATACAGTTTCCTTCGCAAACCACTTTCTGAATGCAATTCTCCAAGATTTCCGTTTCAAATATATTATATTTTCTACTCAATGCAATCATTCTTATGCAGTTTATCATTTATCTACAGAGGTAATATTTTTAGGATATTTGTATACCTACGACTTGTATAGGGCAGTTTGTTTTATTATTTTTGTTTTTTTTTTTATAATGAATTTTTAAATAATTCACTTATTTTTAAACAAGCGGTTTTTTTAACGAATACCTAACTATATACTTAAACCGACGATGTTGTTTTTCAAAATTCATTTACACATCATTTAACGAACTAAAATAAACCAATACTTGCAATTATTATTTTAACTAAATAATTGACAACACACAGGCATATACATCACAGAAATTACCATCAATACCTTTGAGTGTCTATAGATAATCATAGAATTTATATTTTGTACAAAAATAGCATGTAGCATGTTAAATCTAAAAAAACGGACAAACTTCGCACGTGGGTGTAGCCACTGTTGTAAATGGGAAATTGAAAAGGTAAGATACAGAAGGGAATTTAATGTATATCTGTAAGCAATAGCTAATGAAAAAACGGTTTTGAGCGGAGTTCAGTTGATAGTGTTGCTGTGCCAACAATTTATATATATCTAATATTATGGTAAAATAATTAAATAGACGTTATATATTTGTTTTAATAATATTTGTTCAATATTGTATCGATTTTCCCGTTTTTCTTCAGTCTTTTTTCAGGTTTTCACATTTTTTGAAAAAACCTCTAGGAATATCAAAAATCTATCAATTATAAACCATTGCTAAAGAAATACGATTCTGAGCAAAATTCAGTTGTCCATGTTTTGAATGTTGTAATTTTTAGTGATTTTTGTCAAAATTTGATTTTAAACTGCAAATGAAAAAAAAACTACTACATTATGCTTATCTTTTTTTTTACCACTAATCAAAAATTACAATGAAACTCGTGTTAAAATTGTCAAGCATTTCTGTTTGGTCGAACAATTATATCCACATAGTGCCTACCAAACTACGAAAAAAATTAAAAAATGTAAAATGCGTATAAATAACTCAAACATATTTTCAGAATATTTCAGGAATATTCAGGTCTCAATTTTAACCACATTACGTTATCTCTACGTTTTTTCCGACATTTTTTACATTACGGTTTATGCCCAATTTTTCAGAAAACTATACGACCAATCAAAACCCGACTTTCTTAGTCAACAACTAGATCCGAAATTCGACAAAAAAGCCTCTCTTCATTTTTTTTATTAGAGCAATATATCTGGTAGATAATATAAATTGTAAAAATTGTATGTAATGAAATCGGTAAATCAGCTGCCATATATATTTGTCCCTTTTTTAACTGTTACTTATGTAAATATTTTAGAAGGTATTTAAATGGTAGAAATAATTTAGTTTAAAAGGTGTACACAACGATAAATCATTACAAACGAAAAAAACCAATCCTGAGAGAAATAGTATTAGTCGAGTTTTTCCCTTGTTA